GCCAAGTTTGGACAACACTGCTCTAAGGCAAACGTCTAGTTTGCTTCAAGATTATTTCTTCAACAGGAGCCATTCCTTGTGTCAAGGAGCAGCATGGACTTACCCACTTGCATTTCCTTGCTTGCTCAGTTAGTTCTCTGACCACAATTTTGTTTGTGTGAACTTGTCCTGCCTTTGGGTCTGGGCAATTTTGGTGCTATCCCCTAGGTAACCCCACCTATGTCATCAACTTCTCGCATGTTGGCATCTTAGACTGTGTGTTCCAGAAGAGGATGCTCAGTGGTGATTTCTCTCCAAGGGTGGCTGAGATGAGAACAAAGGGAAGGAAGAAATCTGGGACAGGGTGGACTGTACTCAGTCCAAATGCTCAGCAACTGTTTGTCAGTATCTAGATGGAGAAGGACCGAAGCATATGTCATAATAAACTTACTTTTTAATTATTGTTCATTTTTAGATTATAGAACTCCTTAAGTTTTATTAACTCTCTTTCTTTGAAGGTAATTATATAGTATATTCAAGTGACCTTTAATTTGTTTGATAAACTAGGAAACTAGGAAAATTGTTCTCCAAAAGATTATCTATTTCCAGTACATTTCCAAACCTCAGATTATTGCTCTGTAATCATAATTGTTGGCCACCTCACTGATGGAATCTTGTAACTATAGTTTCATAGTGGTCACACAAGTTGCAGTAGAAATTTATGCAAGTAAAATGATTTCTGGATGTTAAGAAACCTCCTTAACATAATTTTGTAAAATCTTTATCAACTGTGGGGGTCTGGATGGGGAACAACAGGCTTCAGTTAAACCCTGGCAAGACCAAGTGGCTTTGGGTTTTGGGCCCTTCTCTGTCTGGGGATTTACCATCTTTGGTGCTGGATGGGGTGACACTGCCTTAGACAGATTCAGTGCACAATCTGGGGGTCTTTCTGACTCATGACTCTTTGAAGAGCAGGTGGCAGTCATGACCAGGAGGGCTTTTGCCCAGCTTTGTGTTGTGCACCAGTTGTGCCCATTCAGGAGGCTCTACTCTCAGTCCCTCATGCCCTAGTCACCTCCCAAATGGATTACTGTAATGTGCTCTACATGGGGCTGCTCTTGAACAGTATCCAGAAGCTTCAGCTGGTGCAAAATGCAGCGGTGAGGGCAGTTATGTGTTCTCCAAGAACGGCATACCTTACATCTCTGCTCCATAAGCTGCATTGGTTGCCAGTGTGCTTCTGGGTCCAATTCAAGCTGCTGGTTATGACCTTTAAAGCTGTACATGGCATGGGAGCAAGTTATTTGAGGGCTGCCACTCTCCAGTTATATCTACCCATCTTACCAGGTCTGGCAGAAGAGACATGTTATGGGTCCTGTCAGGGAGTTCCGTTGGGCGGGACCTAGAAGGAAAGCCTTTTCTGCCGTGGCCCTCACCTTGTGAAACATCGTTCCCCTGAGCTGAGGCTGGCTCTGACCCTGTTGGCCTTCTGGAAGATCCTCAAAACACGGTTTTGTCAACTGGCCTGGGGATCCCATGATAGAGTGGAGCCTGCTAGATGGTTACACAGTGGTTAACTGGAATGCACTCTCTGTATGGTTTTTTTTTTTTTTTTGCCATTTTTAAAAATCTTTTAAATTTATTTTGGTTCTATTTTTAATTGTTTTTTATAAATTTGGATTGTTTTATTGTGTATGCTGCCCAGAGTCATTCCATGAGATGGGCAGCTATATAAATGTAATAAATAAATAAATTTTGGCATTTTCTCTCAGTTTGTTGTCTGCTGTCCTGAAAAGCCAGTCATCTCCATGCAGTAGGTACATGGAACTTGGCATTTATTTAGCATCTGTCTTGCAGAACTGTTGGCTCTGTATTTACTTATTGTACAGATAGTCCCCAGTTTAAGAACGGGTTCTGTTCCCAAGGTCTGTCCTTAAGTCGAATTTGTATGTAAGCCGGAGCAGTATCATTATATAATACTGTATAAATAGTATTGTGTAATTAACTCAAACCATTGTGTATTTAACTTGAATTTTCATACAGTAGGCTCCATTCTTAACTATGGGTTGTCTATAAACCAGGGGACTACCTTTATTTTTAAATTTGCCCAGATTATGGATAGATTGCAGAATTATTAAAGCATTAATAAACAATACAAGGACTAAAATAAAGCAACATAATACATTAATAAGCAGCCTAGAAAAGATATAATAATGGGGACTTCCAGGGGAGGCATGGTGAACTAAAGACATCTCTGCAAAAGTAGAGCCGAGAACCATGACAAAGACCAAAGAACTGGTGAGTAGACTGGTTCTTCGGAACGTCTCCAGATAAGGAGAGGATGGGAGATCACCCACATATGCTCCGGATGACTGCTTCTCACGAGGCGCCTACAGGACAGTGGTCTTCCGCAGGTTTGAATGCTGGGAGATGAAGGGATTAGCCGTCTTGCTCACAACCGTAGTGGAGCCTTTTAAAGGATGCTAAGTTCACAAGCCTCACTTTCTAATCACTTTTGGAAATTGCCTATTAATTACTTTAAAGCTATTAGAGACTTTCAGAATGACAAGTCTGAAAAGTCGCCAGGTGAATTTAGCCTCAATTTTGAACAAAAGAAAAATTAATTAAAAGCTTAAGAACTTAAAGAGTTTGAAATAAACAGCAAACAGCTAAATAAGATTTTGATCTAAGAAAGTTACAAATGGATTAAGGGTCCAGTTAAATTTGGAATATTGACTTTTACTGTAAGATTTTGGAATTAACTATAAAAAATAAATAGCTTCCCGTGGGAACAAGAGTTATTTTGGCTATATTGGTTCATAACAAAGATAAGTGACTTTATGATTTTAGAAACTGGACACTAGAGGGGATTAAAGATTCTAAGTAGAAGGAAAAATAGGGACGCGGTGGCACAGGGCTTAATGATGCTGGAGTTTGCCGGCCAGAAATGGCACTCCAGTGGTTTGGGCCCGGCTCCGCGGGATGGGGTAAGCTCCTGTCACTCGTCCCAGCTTCTGCTCATCCAGCAGTTCGAAAGCAATTTAATCTGCTAGTAGATAAATGGGGACTCCCGTCTTGATGGGAGGAACCGGCGGTGCTGCGTGGAGGAGCAAAATACCGGTGCTGGACCGAACTCTGAATGCAACTGGCATGAGCGATGAGCGATGCGAGTGGTGAGAAAGATCTACGGAGGAGGAAAAGCCCAGATGACCCCCTAGCGACCACTGCTGGTCACATAGTGTAATATATATATCACTGTAGATTTGTAATTGTAAGAATTGTTAGTCGCCGTTAGGATTATATACTTTGTGAGCCACCCAGAGTTCCCCATTGGGGGGAGATGGGCGGAGAATAAACTGAATGTATAAATAAATAAATAAATAAATAAGCCAGCTTTTGGTGTCGATTAACTGGGACTTAAGAAATGACACAAAATGTCATAACATTGGAAATATTAAAGGGAGGTCTTTGAAGAATGGAGCCAGAAATTAGTAGCTACAATACCAACAGTGTCAGTAAAGTTGTCTGATCTATAGATAGATAATGTCCAAAAGATGTCAACGAGGGAATTACAGATGTGGAACAAATTTTGTCTGACAAGACAGAGAAAGTACCGAAAGTGGAAATACAAATGAAAAACCAAGGGAATGACCTGGAAATTGTTTTCCTATTGGACTTACAA